TATGAACGGATCCCAATCACAAATTAAAGATTCGTGAAAAAAGAGAGAAACTCTAAAAAATTGGGTAATTCCAATAAAGTTTGATAAAAGTTGTTAAGAGAATGAGATATTACTTAGGCCCTATTTGGCAAATAACTCCCAATAAATATCTGGGTAAAACTTAGGCCTCGTTTGGCGAATGAGTTTTTTGAGTGTTTATCTAAAATTTTACTGCAACTTACTGTAAAAATTGTAGGAAAAAATTTTAAAATGAAAATTTTTTTTCTTTTCTTTTTATTTCTTTTTCTTTCTTTCTTTCTTTGTTCTTTTCTTTCCTTTCTTCTTCATCTCCCTTCCCCGTCCCCTGCCACCTCTCGCTTCCAGTTGGAACAAGAATTTTTTTTGCTCTTTTCTCTCACCCTCTCTTCTCTCTCCCCTCCCCTCTCGCCCCTTTTCCGGGTGCTTTCTAGTCGTGTGACCAGATCGGGCAAAGGGGTAAGGGAAGGGTGGTGAGGGAGGGAGAAGGGGGGAGAGAAATGGCGGGGAAGAGAGGAGGAGAGAGGGAGAGGAGAGAGAGAGAAAAAAAAAGATCGGCCGACTCCGAGGTGGTGGTGGGTTGAGATGGAAGGAGAAAGGAGGAAGAAAATTTCTTTTGTGTGTTTTGGATATTTTGAAATATATAGTTAAAGTTGTTAAAAATTTGATAGGAAACAAACTTAGCCAAAAATTCGTTTGCCAAATAGGCCATTAGTTCTAGGAATGCTTTGAAAATCCTTGTTAGAGGGATAGTGAAATTCTTGTTATCCATTAATATCTGAGGTCATGTTATTCAATAATGGTAATTGTGAAAAAATTTTCTCTTTTTTGATTGATTTTTATTCATAAATTCAAGCTATTATTCAAATTATAGTAATTTATTGATGAATTTGGATTATTTATTGTTGAATTTGGCTAGGTATAAAGTTAATTGAAGATGCATAAAAGTTTCATAAATAAGGCAGCCTGTTTCGACATTGCTTTCAATGATGTGTGGATTATGTTTGTGAACTTTAATGACACAAAGGGGCAAGCTACTCCTACTACTGCTACTTATTTTGCATTTGGGGATGAGTCCCGCATCTCGTGCTGGAGTTGATACCGGTGTAGTAAAATGGTAATCCAATATGCAATTAACGAATTTTGTTCTAAAAGCTATATATAACGGAAATGTGTGAGAACCTGAGAAAATTATGTGTATGCCCTAAATTTATTTCATTTTATTTACTTTGATATTAGAAATATTATATATAACGAATAAATGGTTAAATTAAATGCCTAATTGAATCCTTATGAAATTGAGAATTTAGAAAATATCCTAGAATAGTGTAGAAAAATTTTATGAATTAAATAAATATATGGCATTCATATCGTAATTTATGTCATTTGCAAATATTACTAGACACGAAACATATACTATATAGTTCAATAGGTACATGTCTAATAAATCCTTTTTAAAGCTAAATGTGTGAAAATCTACTAGATCAACGTAAGAAAATTTTTCACGAAAATAAAAATTAAGTTAAGAGTGAATGTATGAAATAATAAACTAAAGGACCAATTTAACCATTAATGGATGGACAATTAACCATGCAACCAAAAGAGGAATTGAGCTTCTGGACAACCGAGGAACTTAGGCAATCAAATGCTTAATTACTAGAGCGGTGATTGAGAGAACACTAAGAAGAAAACAGCTCAAGTAGTAAGTAGCACCGACTGGGAAACATTGACCACCGAGTGGACTGTTCCTTCTGATTCTAGAGTCTTATAAGCTGCTAAGTCCAAGCGGTGGCTGAAGGAAAAACCAAGAGAAATCCACAGCCAATAATTTGCTAAGTCAAGCGGTAGAAGTGAGGAAACAAATAGAAAGTGGCTTGCTAAGTTGGGCGGTGGCCGAGTGGAGAAGCGAGGCTTCAATTCTTTTCTTACCAACCAAACACCAAGAGCAAAACTGAGAGACTAAGCCATTTCTTTTCATCTCAAGGCACAACCGAGAGAGAGGAAAATATTTCTGGTTCCTCCTTGTTCCAGTTTTCAACCGAGAGAGTGAGGGAGAGAGTTAGACATTTGCTAGCTTTATTTCTCCAGCTTGGAACCTCAAAACTCTGAGCCAAAGTGAGTGAGAGGGAGAAAAATCCTGGTGGTATACTTCACCTAACGGCCTCAACCGAATGAGAGTGAAGTAGATTGAAGAAAGAGTGAGAGTTGGTGCAATTTTGAGGAACCGAAGCTCAACTTGGAGCCGTCTGCACTTGCTGAATTCTAGAGGAAAGGAGTTCTTGTCCTTAGTTTAGCTACCCGAGAGACATTAGGAGGAAAAGGAGAGAAGGACCAAAAGAAAGAAACAACAACAACAACTAGGAACTCATTTCTGGCCACCTTCAACCGTGAGAACCAGCCACAAAGAAAGCAGGAATGCAGTCTATTGAGCTAAGAATGGGAGAGAAAAACCAGAATTTTATTTTCCTAACTTAGAACCATAAGAACCAGAGGTAAACTACTATCTTTCTCTTCCATTTCTTCTACGTTTAGCTAGTAGTCTTTTAGAATGAATTGAAACCAAGTAAAAGAAAATTTTCTAGAAAACAAAGGTTGTCAAAGCTGGAAATGTTCGTTTGAAGCTGCATGTTCTCACTCTAATGTTTATATGATTGCAAGTTAGATTTGAGTGTAAAATGAAGAGATTATTAGAGGAAATTTCATACTTTTAAACTGCTAGCTGCTGAAACTCCTTCATCTTGGCCGAGAGAACAAAAGAGAGTATTCTCCAACTTTTCTCTTCAAACCTTGGCTATAAATTCTATATTGTGATTCAAAACACCTCATAGAATAATAATTATCACCTGGATATTAAGTTTGAATGAGGAAAATAAAGAATTTTATGGAGAAAACTTGTTTTCCAAACTACCTACTTGCTGGAATTTTTCAACCTCAGCCGAGAGAGATGGAAGGGATATTTTCTGATATTTCTCTATAGATTTTGGGCTGTAAACTTTCATATTAAGGTTGATTACACCTTATAATATCATTAGATGGTCATGTATGTGAATTTTGGGGTGAAAATGTGATTTTTTATGGCTGGATTGTTGTTTGAAAGACTGTTAGGCTAATAAACCATTTACAGTTTAGTCAACGGAATTTCTTGGCTTTGAATGGATATTTTAGTATAAAATTTGCTGGAAATGCTTGATTTGTACTTGTTGCTGTGTTATGAGTTTGTTGGTGAGTGATTGGTGGATGGAAATAAAATCTAAATAGTTAAAATGGAAGGGAAAGTTTGCTATACCACCTACAGGAATCAAAGGAGCCTTGTAACTTATATAAGAAGATATCCATTTATTACTTGGTTTAATAGGCTCTATATAAATTGTATACACATCTTAAGGTAATAAACTAGTTATGCATGTGGTCTTGGTTAATAACAGAAGGAATTATGTGACAAGAAAGTACTTTAAGGTTAGCTACTTCTAAACTTACCTTGTTAAACGTTAATGTTGAGTTTTAGTACGATAAATCTAACAGTATAAAAGTAGTGAAGTGACATTACTGGAATTGCTACTTAAACTTCCTTTCTTTTGGAAATTAAAAGTTGAAGTAACAAGCGAGTGTGAGAAAATGCACTAGTCATCTCATTTAAACATAGCAATGACTTAGATTTCGGGTGGAATGGTGACTTAAGGCTAGAATACAACACGTATGTTGATTATACTTTAGAATTTCACCAAATGAGTAGTTAAATAATTATGGCAATTATAACTTGTCTCAGGAGACAGCGGTGCGCAAGAAAGCAATTCTAAGATCGAAGTGTAACTTTTGATTAGGGTGAGTGTTTAAGAATTTATATATTTAACTGTTTATGTTTATTTAAGTGAAATTATGTGATAAATGTGCTTATTATGTATATTGCCAGTGATTTATTGTAAAGTGTATCTCAATTGTCCCTCGCCTTCTAAGTCGAGGGTGTACTTTATCGCACTCGACTTAGTTGAACTTGAAGGTTGATTATTGACTAAATGTTACTGTAAGTATGTATGAATGTAAGCCGTATGTGTACTTTATCGCATCGGCTGAACTGAGCCTCAAAACCCTCTGTTCAACAGATTATTCGAGCCAGCAAAGGGCTTGTTGGATAGGACGGAAGCTTTGGGTAACTGTTTGGTATACTCGGGTATTACCCTGAAGTTGGGAGATTATTGAACTGATTGCTGAATGTAGGGGATTGATTATTGTTTTGGAGGACATAAGGAGGTGGATTGGCGGAGTGTGCAATAATATTGAAATGAATGTACAATGACACTGAAATGAGTGTGCAATGATATTGAAATGACACTGAATTACTGAACGGAACTAAGTGCTACGTCTGGAACGAACGGGAACCACCTCTAGAGTCCGTATCAATACCGTATCCTTTGAGGTGATTGATTACTTTTATTAAATTTGATATCCTGAATTGTTAAGTTTGGTGAATGTTTTATACTGCTAATTGGTTGTTGTATCCTTTTGAAAGTGACAATACAGTGAAATGTGCATTACTTGCTTAATTTTACTAGTTAAGTGTTTATTGAATGTTACTTGTTCGGCAAACCTCACTAAGTTTTAGCTCAACCTTTTAGTTTTGTTTTCCTTACAAGAATTGGTGGTCAGGGAATGAACAAGGGATCTTAAGGAGTTAACGTGAAGAATTTTGTGAATGTAAATCCTTTAACATCAAATTATGGTTGAGGCTATTATATTGAACTTGGTATTGTAAAAGATTTGAGTATTTGGTTTTGGTTTATCGAAATGTTATCTCTGAAATTAATGTAAGTGAGTGAGTCCTGGCGAGAGTCAGGCAGATGGTCCGCTAACTTCTAGGGTATGCTCTAGGAGAAGGTGTGACGACCCCACCTCCCCTAAGGCGTACCAAAGGGTTCGGCGGACCGCCTGCCCAACTCTCGCCAGGACTCACTCACTCGTGTCTTACGCATACATCCATAGACAAGAAATAACATTGCAATTCAAACTTGTAATATACATCGATGCACAAACCCAGATACAAGACATCTATACATCCAAAATACTTAAAAGTGTATACAATACAAGTACAACGCATTCTAAGCGAATGATAGCGTGAGTACAACTCGAAAGTCAAAACAATTAGTCTAAACTAGTCTGTACACGTCTCACGCCTCGCTCGTACCCCTGTAAGGAAAACAAAACTAAAGGAGGTTCCAAATATCAAATTGTCCAGCAAATAAAGTAACAGTGGCATAATGGTGAAATAGCGAGCAAAACAAGTCAAGAAATGAGTAATAACACTTCATATAGCTAGACACGTAATTTTTCCGCATTTCACATATAAGAATACAGTTGCTCATATATCGACTCCACCATAGCTTGATCAATTGGTAGTTGGCACTCCGTCAACTTTCAAGTGAGAAACTAGTCCAGTAGGTCACCACTTCACTCCAATCTCCGTCCACCGATCAAACCTCTTACTGGGCTCGAACTCCACAATAAACACTGGTGGTAATACTCGAGTATACCGATTAGTCGAGGAGATAACACTCCACTCGACAACACTAGATACCCATGGTTCGTTATCTAATCGACCAAACCCTTGCCGGCTCGACTCGATTAACTAGCCAATGGGGTTTGGATCCCCAAAAAATCGATGAGATAACACTCCAATCGATTGAATCAAGATAAAAGTATGGAGACGGGAATGAGAGGTACCTCCCACTCGGATCGAGTGTGGTACATACTGCCGCTCAGTACTTACAAGTCACACACAAATATCTCAAATCAATTGCAACAATAAACAAGTACATATCACGTTAGGGCAAGTGCGATAAAGTACACCCTTGCCCGATCATACCAATCACATATCATTCGATCACATTGGTCAAGTATTAAAAACAAGTATCCAGTTCAATCAGGTATTTGGAAGTACTCACCAAAGATGTAGTGCCTTTACGGATCACGGTCAGGTATTACTCCTTGTGTGGAGTTCAACTCTGCGATAAAATGTCATTTAAGAACTTGAAATCAATTAGGGTTCAAGTTTTTTTTAAAGAAAATCAAGTAATTGAAACTCATTTGGGGAATATTCGTAAAACTCATGCTCGCTCTTAAAACTTTGAAAATTTGAAGCGATTAAACTTTGAAATTCCCATTTGAGTCGAAGAGAGGAGAAAAACGTATTTCTATTAGTCGTTACTTTTATTTTTTCAAGGTTACAAGGTTCGGTCGAATTCTAACTTATATACCACTATGAGCGAAGACTTGAATACCCTAGATGATTCGAGTTCAATTCGACCTCAAATCTTCGCTCAAACTGCGAGTATACACGTCTCACTTTCGAGTGAAAATTTGGGCAGCATACCCCTTTGTATTTAGCTATTTTCCAGTCATTTATGGCTTCATTATTGTTCTCAATTCAGCCCTAAAATCACACGCAAATAATCTTACCACAATAGCCTTTCACTAGGCTCAATGTCATCCACACACAAGACAATTTTAGCATGTAAGCTTCACTTGGAAATTCGGAAATGGTGGCCAAAAGCTAAGTACAAGTCTTGACCGCTTTAATTAAGGTAACTTGTTAAAAGAGTAAAACTTTGAGGAAATGAGAGATACATTAGCGAGAGAAGTTCAATAGGGATATATTTGATGTCAAGGAAGTGGAAAAATCAAGGTGAGGGGTTGGAAGTAGGCCGTCTGAGGTTTTAAAGTCAAGAAGCCCGTTTCTATACTTCAGGAATCTACTGAGATGAATAGTAACAGTAAACTTTAAAAATTCGCAACTCGAGTTCCACAAATCAAACAATTATCAAAGTTATACTGTTGTAAAATAGATTTTTAGTACTATCACATCCCAGAAGACACTTTTCAGAGATTCAAATCACAAATAGGCCAAATATTCGATCCAAGTCAAAAATTCATTTTCCTGAAGAAACAGGACATTCAAGCAGGACAGCCTACTTTGAGGAGTCACGGACAGCAGTACACATGGAGGAAAAATATGAAATTTTTACAAAACAAAGGCCCATGATTCTAGTTGCAAATGCCACTGATGACACCTCAATCGGATTTTTCTACACCAAGATATAAGCATTTTACTGAGACTGGTCAGTGAAATCCGAAAATCTGGAAACTCATTTTTCACTTGTGAAAAACTCCTTTTTCTCTTTTAAAACCACAAGACTTTTATTCAAACCACCCATACATTTAAGTATGACATTCATACCAGCAGTTTTAACATAATTTAAGCATCAAATTTCAACAGAAACCAAAGAAATATACATATATTCCAAGTTTAAAGTCTTGTAAGATGTTTATACTAAGATTAAATCATTTTCTATCCAATATTCAAGGATTAAGGCAAATGAACTCTTCATTTGTTCCATTTAAGCTAAACCAGATTCTAAGTTGTTTGTAGTTTGGGTTTTGTTCCACTACACCAGCCCCTCACATTAATAGTCTTTAAAATATTAATGAACACAATATTAAATCATTAGAAGCCACTTTACGTATATAACTATCATAACTTTCCACTCAATCGTGTTGGTTTAACCCTACTCGTGGAACTAGGTATATCCATTAAATCTGAGAACAATCGTAGCTATCATTTATGAAAGCTTGCAAGATTGGAAATTAGAAGAAATGTTAGTTAAAAGTTGGTTTCCTCAGGGCCATCATCAAAACTGCATGCATGTGAAACAAAAGGAAAGGCAACGAGGAAGTCAGCTTTGCCATCCTCTGGTATTTCAATCATAACTAGAGCTATGCTTATCAGATTGAGGCAAGCTTTATAGCGTTTCGAAGCTAAGATATATACCTACATTTCTTATGACGACACCAACACCCAATTCTCATATTTTCAGGGTCAAAAATGGCCGGACAGAAACACATCCTGCTTCACTCTGTCGGACAGCAACCACAAAATTAATCCAGTACCGTTACTTCAACTTTTGTCAAAAACTCTATTCTTTCACTTGCTTAAAGCTCTAAATACTTAAGGTATATTCAGTCCAGCATATACAAGGTGAGTAACTCATAATTTCAGCATGTTGTTCGGCCAAAATCACACACAAAATCTGTCATCAGCTGTTGCATCATTCAACGAAGTTTTCCAGCAGTATAACAGTTCAACTTTGATGTTTTCTCAAATATTTCCTTTCAGGTTCATGCTCCAACTAGAAGTATAAAACATATCTTATCAAGCTACAAAGTAGCCTTAAACAGAACATATGAGGTTTACAACTAAAATTCGAAGGAAGATTGATTAAAAGTCCTTTTCTCTCTCTCTCTCTCTCGGCCTTCCTAGCCAGTTCCATCAGCTTTAATCAAAATTTCACCATTAGTTTTTCCATTATGCTCTCAAATCTAACTTGCAATCATATTAAACATTAGACAGATCATAATACGTGAGTTCCAGTCACAATTTAGCAAACGTTTTAGAGAAATAACCAAAATTGCAGCTTTTCCCTCTCGATTTGCTGTGCAGAAAATTCCAGCTTTTGAGATTGCTTTAAAGTCAATCTTTTCTTGCTTTTAGCTCCTCAAATAACACACGGATGACTGGATTAGGAAGATGGCAGTTATATGAAGTGAGTTTTTAACTAAACTAACAAAATTTTCTAGAGATAAAGCTGGAAATTTCCAGCTTCATCTTATTGATCCTTCATGTAGTGTCCAAACAGAAATTCAGCAAAGTTTCTTCATATTTTACACTCATTCCACTTGAGTTCAGGTCAAGTACTGCACCCATGTCAAGATATGTATACTATGGAATATATATAATGCATGAAGACATAATCTAACACATTTTGAAGGAGAATTGACTAAAAAATTGCAGCTTTTTATCATCGGGTAGCATGCAATAACTTTGAACAGAATTTTCCAGCTTTGAAGAACTTTTATCGGTGAATTCCTTCCTTTCTCAGTTCTAGTTCATCCCAAGGAATTATTAACCAGGCATAGCAGGAAAATGAAGAAGAGCTTAATTAATTACCTATTGTCTCTTCACGGTTTAGACTGGAACAAGATTTCTGGTTTTCTTTTGTTTCCCTCTCTCGATTCCTTGGTTAAATGAGCTGGAGTTTCTCTTGTTTCTTGGCTGGTGTTCATGGTTGGAGAAGGTAAGAGAGGTCTCCGTTTTTCCTTCTTGTTGTTTCTCGATTTTAGGCAACAGGGGAAGTGAATGGAACCCTCTCGGTCACCGCCCAACTAGTGCACAAATGAATTTCTTAGCTCCTCTCATTCGGTCATCACCTCACGTAGCAAATAAATGGGCAGCTGTCTTAACAGGTACCGCACAATCTAGAAGCCAATTCCTACTGGTTTTCTCCCTTCCACCGCTTGGACTCAGCAGATAATTTCTCTTTATTGTCTCTCTTTCGGTCACTACTTATTCAGCAAATTTGGTGATGCATTCCTTCCTGGCAGCTGTCTCAACTCACCGCCCCAGTCTCAGTTAATTTCTACACTTCACCGCTTAGACAAGTAGATGGTTGCTGGCTTCTATTCGGTTCCTATCAATTAAATTTTTATTCCTCTCTCGGTTTTGGTCTTCTGAATTCTGATAGCTTATGCCTTGGCCACCTGGTAGTTAGTCTAAAATTTAAGGTTAGTTTGGTCTTTTAACTGTAGCTTATTTGCTCACAACGGCCTGATTTGTTTATTTATTTTTTTATGAGTTCATGCATGGACTCGTACCTTCATTTGTATTTTCGTGGAAAAATTTTGACACCTTTAGCTTTAAGAAAAATTATTAGACATGTACCGATTGAACTTCTAGTATAGTTTACGTGACTAGTTGTATTTGTTTGCAAATAACATACATTACAATATGCATGCCATATATGTATTTAATTCATAAAATTTTTCTATACTATTCTAGAATCTTTTCTAAATTCTCAATTCTATAGAGATTCAATTAGGCCGTTAATTTAATCATTTATTCGTTATACATAATATTCCCAATATCAAAGTAAATAAATGAAATAAATTCAGGGCATACGTAATTTTTTTTTCCTGGGTCTTCACAGAAGGTGGGGCCGTCACAAAATGATTATTCGTAAAGAAACTTATTTAAAAGTTGAAATTACCCTTGTTTTGAAACTCAAATGGCTGAAGCGAACAAAATGCATAAACATAATATGTATGACACTCTAACCCCATATGATTTTATATTTTACCATGAAACCCCTTATGATTTAATGTTTTATCATATAAATCCCTTATGGCTTTCACTATATATACATAACCCCCTTATAGTTAATAAATAATTTTCAACTTTATATAGGGTATTTTTTATATTTTAATTGATTCCATTATGGATTGTAAATTTCGTTAATTTGACACTTTAATTCAGACAATAAGAGAGTTATGTATAACTTTTGAAATCATAAGAAGATTATGTAAAAAAAAATATTAAATCATAGGGGAGTAAAATGTAATTTAACTGTGTGCAGCATCCAGCCCCTCTGGCTGCTGTCACTGGATTGGGAGGAATATAGTATGAAAGGCTGCATGCACCGTCCAGCGTCTCTACCACTGTGGGTCATGACTTTAATTTCTTCACGGGTAGACTTGTAGTTGCCAGACTCAACACGAAACAAAGTTTGTACCCAATTTCGAACGCTATATGGGCACGTCGAGATATTGAATGCTGTTCATTTACGATTGTTTTGGTTACTCCAAAATTTAAACGTGCATTTGAAATTCATTAAATATCTGTTTACTCTTCTTTTAGCTTCAACCTTTTTATATATTCAAAACCACCAAAATGTTTTGCTTATATTTAAAAAAAAAAAAAAAAAAAAAAGAGAAGAGTTTATCAAGTCTCATTGAACGTATTAAACAAGGTTTTTACCACAAAAAAAAAAAAAGAAATATAGCTGGATCCATGCAAATATCTGTAAAGGCTTTGTAAAGTATGTGGATCCTATTCTATAAGTAATTAAATTTTTTTTTTTTGGGTTATTCTTGGAAATAGACTACTGCAACCAGTTACTATTTAAGTGGTCCATGGCAGTAACTCTGATACAAATTGACAAATGAATACATATTTTTCAGGAACTTCAAGTCATTGTCATTTTATCAGCAATTTTCTACAAGCATTTAGAACCATAGATGATGCTTTATCAGACGACCAATACCAAAGGAATTGAATACGCATCTCCTTAATACTACTTCATCATTATTAGCTGATTGATTTGGTAGTAGTATTCCTGTCACTTTTGATGCATTAAATAAGCTTATTAATCAATTGTCGCTTGCGAGAAAGCTTGATAAAAAAAAAAAAAAAAAAATCATCTCCAAAAACAAGTTGGCTATGACAGGAATGGGAGAGGGGCAATGACAATCGTCAGTTGAATCGTTTCGAAACGATGTAAAAGGGAATCAACAGGCAAGTTATCAAATATTTGTGATAAACTCTTAAAACACACATGTTATATACTTAAACTCTGTTCACGACGACCCTACAAGTTAGTTGAGTTAGAGTTACATATATCGTTATCTATCTCACCTTTACAACATGAATTTTTATGTTATTGGCAAAATCTGAGTCATGAACCTTCCGAAACGTTCGTCAGTTTCGTGACAACCATTTAGTCCGACAAAGACACTTGTCTTGTTGTAAAGTGAACTAGAAAAATTACCTCGCAGTATATTTCTTAGAAGAATAGACTAAGTACCATCCGTTAGCCAACCACAAGTATAGCAATTGAATCAATTATCCTGACTGATTCTTAGACTGTTTATTCCAACAAATTGCCGAATAATGATATTATGAAGTATGTAACTGCTTTATGCTGCTGATACATGTTTTCATCGAGTGATAAAATTTGTTATGTATTCTGTAGTTATTGTTGTAATGATTTCCACGAAGACTTCAAGTCATTGTGCCTGTTTCAAGTCATCGTGAGCCATTGTTCCGAACCATAGAGGTTCTTGCGTGAATATGTTTGTACTGGAGAACGAATGTGTATCTAATGATGAAACATAGGACAACTGAAAGAAAAAATACTTATAAACAACGCATTGTTTATTTATTTATCATTTTCGTCTCCGGCATTAACAAGCAGGAGTACATTTGATTTCACCCCTCCTTCAGCAGATAGCGATCGAGAGGAACTGATCAGGCAGCACGAGCATAGGACCGTAGCATGGACTGGAAATTTACCTCGTGATGAAGGTAGGGGAAAACCATGATGCCTCCATAAACAGGAGAGTTCTTCAGATAGGGAAGAACCTCATAAACTAGCTCATTAGGTGAGATGAAACCGCCCTCAGGTGCGATAGAAGAGTTTATTGGTATTCCCAGGAACAATAGATTAACGCCTGGATAATCAGACCAATTGTCCCAGCTCCGGAAGAGGAGACTGGTATCGTTTGGAGGCTTAAACTGACAAGATGGGTTGTCGAAAAATTCCACCCGCACCTGATCAACGACACCAGTTCTGATAGTTGTGTCAAGAGCAGGGTCAGGAATAGGACATTCCGCAGCTACGGCTAAGATGACATTTGGGTATCCCTTAAGTGCCCGAGCAAGATCATCCAAGTAAGTCGTGTTTCCGCTGTGGATGTGAAGCTCTACGCCATCTAAAACAGCTGTGCCGAATGGACGGTCGCTTGATTCACCGCCTAAGTAAGTGTTCCAGACAAAGGCTGCCACTTCTTGCGCATCTTCGACGGAAGAAAGCCTCGGTTGTCCTGCGAGAGAAATAAACACTTTGGTCTGATGTTTCTGGCAAGATTCTATGTCTGATGAGCTCGGCAAAGGATGAATTATGTTCAATTCAGGCATCTGGCCGCTGCCAAAATCTTCCAGAAAGGCAATATTCACGTCGGTAGCGAATTCTCGCCTGCAGAACTCAGCCAAACTTGATGGTTCTTTATGGCCTCGGCCCCAGTATTGGACAATTCCGGCAGCTTCGGAGGACCCAATCAGAGAAGCAATCAACAGGAATGTTATTGCTGAGAACAGTGGTTGCAAAGAGGCAGCCATTTTTTTTCTCTTTCTTTTCAGTGATTTTTGCAGCTTTGCTTTGGTGAGTTCACTTGCACAATGACTGACCATTTTATAGATGAGTTTATCTCAAGTGGATGTTCAGCATCTAGAATATCCAAACATCCGTACAACAAAACGTGAATGGCACGATTTCTCATTTCTGCTCTCAAAAAGGTGAATGGTATTATTTTTGTGTTTCAATATTGCTAGAGACTACCGTTGTGCTCGCCTAACCTCATCCACAACTGGACGAAGAAAGATCTTTTTCTTTCTTTTTTTTTTCTTTTGGGACATTACATGGCAGCTAGGGGGGGGGGGAGTGGATCCTTGAGATTAATGGGAATTGAATCATCATTGAATTAGACGAGTGGTCCAAACATCCTCTAAATTTTAGAAGAAATTGCATATCAAATGATAATTGATGAAAGATAAAATTCGAACCTCGATAAGAGAAAACTAGGAGTCTTGTTTGAAATGTAAAATTTTCATGAACATTCTTGAAGTAAAAAGAGTGCTCAAGTAGCCTACGAAATCCTTCAACTATGGTACAATAAAGTGAAATGGGTGCCTTTCAATGTGCAATAATGGTAGGGGCAACTATTCTTCTAACTGCTGCTTCAAATGCAATTTTTAATTTACACTTTTTACCATCTCTCTATATCTTTAAAAATTAAAGTAACCTGCACAACATGCCCTTACTATGTGCACAAATATTCATACCGATGTGCAAAACTTTGGAATGGTCCTAGTTGTATATATTAGTAATAGTAGAAATGTAAAGTTCAATACTTCCACCTCAAAAGTAACTGCAAAATATGTCAGTTGGAATGATCCCATTTAAAGTTCAGATCACCCCTTATTTAATTATGTTAAGTTCTTAATATTTTCCCATTCAATCCTTCATTCAACAGCGGTGATGGTGCTGTGACGTTTGGTCTTAAGCAAGAAAATTTTTTTCCTCGCCCTCAGTGTGAATGTGACTCTCATATATAAATAATCTCATAGCAAAACATGTTCTTACTGATCGCAGAAGTGAAGCTTGTACACAGGAATGTATAGATTCCAGTTACATCCAACTAATCACTGTTTAAGCATACGAATTAGCCATCACGGGCTAAGACACAGAGGCAATTCCAGTTGGTTCTAGATAAAGGGATCTTCCTCTAACCTGCTGTCACATCCTTTACAGGAGCCAAGACAGCAGGAACTATGTCCACAGCCGAGATATGTCTCTGCTGAAACATAGCCAAATTCCTTGCTGTCCATAGCTAGTATAGGCTCAAAACCCTCTTCTCTTTCTTTGCTTCTTAAATTCCACCCTTCAATCCTATGCTACTCATCCTATTTTTTAAGAATTTTAATTTATTTATTTTTTAAAAAAATTGATTCATGTCTTCTGTTTGGATCCATGTCTTTGCTGCTTTTAATTCCTTAATTTAACGTAGCCCCAAACACGGCATATAATAGTCACTCTCTTAATAAATGCAATTAATTAATCATACCAAATATAACGTTTGGATTAGGTATTGTAGCACACCTTAGTTTTAT